TATACTATATTATATTATGTTATACTGTATTATATTCTACTATCTTATAGTCCGGTTGAAAACGAAATTGGTTTTTCCATGAACGTTTCTTATCTACCACTCGTTGGACCCGAGCCCTGCTCTGTGATTGCTGCTTCTTTGGATGGCCTTAATATCCCTAATTCGCGCGCACGCCCATGTCAAGTCGGAAGTCGGAATAATTTTCTGAGAGTTATTCGCAGGGCTATTATATGGGTGATCAACAAGGTTCTTGGAAGGGTGATTATGGTTCAAAGAGCTTCTGCAAGCGCTGTGGAAGCTGGATTTCAAGTTGAGGAGACAGGGTTGGGCTTAGGCTGTTTGGCTGTTCACAGCGCTTCCAAACCCGGAGAGTCCTCCAACCGTTGAGCCCGGTCGCAGGAGCAGGGGGTTTGAATGCGCAAGGTTAGAAGCAGGAGGATTCCAACAGCGACCCGAAGTAGCTGTAAGACCGTTTAGTGCAGAGCTCACGATTTTGAAGGGTCCTCATATGCAAACATGAGGCATTTGGAGGCATGACTTGTGATCTTTGCAAGGCTGGAGCTCTAAGCCCCAAGCCCCAAAGTTCTGTGCTCGCCGAGACCATGCAATCCTGGCTTGTCTTCACCGTGCTGGCCTTCGCCGCGGCAGCGCCCAGCTGCTCCTTGGGCTGGACATGATCACTTTGCGCCACCCTAAAGGTTCCTCTTATAAGGTTATATACTACAATGGCTACAACTTTCCAAGGGTTGCCATAGAGGTTGCTGTCAGCGTTTCCATGAGGTGTTTTTTTTGGGGTGTCGGGTGTTGGTGTCAATCTGGTGGAGTGTCCCCCTAAACTCTAGAATGCCTGGAGCCCTGAAACCCCCCCGAACCCCCAATCCCTAAGCCGCTCCACCCATGAAACATCGAAAGAGCCGTTATGGGACCCTTAGCGAAGGATTCTGCAACCCTAGAAAACAAGCCTCATTACAACTTGTAAAGGACACTTCTGAGGCCTATGATTCCCTGGTAAGATCCAGCAAAGCCCCTGTGAGGTGAGGAGTCGTCGCTGCTGCAGCGCGTCTCCTTGGAGGGCCCTGGGTCCCAGCTGTTGGGCCTGGGTTTGTTAGTTTAGGTGGGAGGGTTTAGGGTTTACAGTCTAGGATCTTGGACTTCGGGAGGGTCGATTTCACGTTTGGGAGATGGTTTAGAGTTTCCGGTCTTTGATGCGGCAGGGTGCGGGGGTAGTCTAGTGCTTGCGGTTTCCCAAAAGGCCCAAGCAGATCAAGTTTCCAATGGCTCCGGGGATGGGGGCTGGAAGGGCTCCCCAGGTTTCCTCAAACAGGAAGGGATTCCGTGGTTGAGGAATCCCAAGTCTAGGATTCTTTGCAGGCTTGAGGGTCAGCAAGTGCACTGAGCTTCAAACTCCAAAGGCCCCTGAACATGAATGCTAAACCCTAAACCCTCCCGGCTGCTGGAGGCCTTTATGTCTTCAGCGGACATCTTGAAGGTTCAATGATTCAATGCTCATTCGCTACTGGTAGGATTCGGGGTGCTGAGTGTCTTGCGTAATTAGAAGCGCAACCCTTCAGAAAACAGCTTCTCATTAAGATCTCTGGCGCTCTTTTCTTCCTGTTGCAGGCAGTCCAGGTTACGCCGCCCATATGAGTATGTCCCAGTGAACGCCTTGTAAGACCGTTGTCAGGAAGTGCTGCCGCAATTCACGAACCCTGCCAACGAAATCGACAGCCCTAAACCCTAAACTCCAAAC